CTCAGCACCCGATCCCTCCAAAGCTTCCCCCTCACAGGCCACGGAGGGACCACGGCAGCCTCCCCAGCGGGGGTGCCCGGGGGCGGGTCCCCGAGGAGGTGCTGGAGAAGACCGCCACGGAAGGCCGGGAGGAGAAGTGGGCGGAGAGGAAGTTCACCCTCCGAGTGCTGGAGGCAGACTGGGGGCAGGCCTGTGCGTTGGGAACATGTAGGGACCAGAATCGGCCTCTGGTCACCGGGGATTCAGAAATTCATAAATGTAGCTAAAGCAAATATGGCGCTGAAATCGCCATCTCAATGGCTCTGGCGAAGGGAGACAGTGCCCTATTGGGGCTGGGGAACCTGTCTTCCTTGGCCCTTCCTTCCATAGTTACGCCCGCCCACAGCTTCCCTTGACCCCTCCCTCACATCGGTGCCCCCCGGAGTTAGTTGGTAACTCCCAACGCTAAACGCTGCTCCGCACTCCTTCGTGCAACCTGGATGCCCCCCCAGGCGGCCCTGCTCAGTGATGGGTCCACCACCATCCATGATGACCCCCTTACCTGGACATTCCATCAGCTACCTGCCTCCTGACTTCTGCCTTCTAGAATCTGTCTACTTCTTTCCATGCTTCCATGCCACCAGAATGCCTGCAAGCAGCTTCCTCTTTGGACCCAAGCTGCCAGAGGGTCCTGTCAAGCAGAGCAGGGGCCACCTCCTCACTCCTCAATGCCTGCAGGCCAGCTTCAGCTTCTTCAGCTCAGGGTCTGCCTTTTGTGTTCCCACCTCTACATCCTGCCTCACTGGCCCTTTTGCTGGGAATGTCTTTCCTGCTCTGGTCTGCCCATCACCTGCCCTCACCTGAGGGAGACTTCCTTCAGCCAAAAAGAATGTCTTCCCTCCTTCCCCTTACACAGGTGTCTTCTCTCCCAGACTATGAGCCTGTCCTGACCCAGGCTCTGACCTCCCCTTTCCCTGCCCAGGTACCTGCTGGAGCAGCGAGACGTGGATGTGAATGTATGGGACAAGTGGGATAGTACCCCCTTGTGAGTGCTAGGGGATGGGTGGTCCGGGTGGGTGGGGCAGCCCCTTCCATCCTGACAGCCCCCTCCCAGTACTCCTTCCTTCTCCCCCTCAGGTATTATGCCTGTCTATGTGGGCATGAAGAACTGGTACTCTACCTTCTGGCCAATGGTGAGGGAAGGGGACAGAAACACCATCCACCGGTGTGTGTGTGTGTGTGTGTGTGTGTGTGTGTGTGTACATGTGTTCAAGGGCTCTACAGCATGTGTACACATTTGCAAACACCCTGAAGTCCCCTTCCTCACCCCTACACCCAGTTAGCAAGCACTGTTAGCTCTACTTTCAGAACCTGTTCTCTCTGTCCACTTTCCATCTCCATTGCTCCTGCCCAGCCCAGCTACAGCATCTCTCCCTGGACCACCTCTCCCTGGATGCAGTGCCAGCCTCATCACTGGTCTTATTGCTGCCCCTTCTGCCCCACCTACAGTTTGTTTTCTATGTTGTAGCCAAGTGGAGCTCAACAAATGTGATGAGCTTATTAAAATCCTCTAATGGCTCCCACTGTATTTAGCATAGAACTAGAATGCCTTGCTTTGCCTGGGAGCTGCTACATGGCCTGCTCTTCCTTCTCTGGCCTCCTCTTTGGCTCTCCCAAGTGCTCACTGTGCCAACCACACCGGTCTTCTCCTTGGTGCTCCCGCGCTCCAAGCTTGCTTCTGCCTCAGGTGCTAGTCCTCCTGTTTGGAATGCCCTTTCCCAGGTCTTTGCATGGCCAACTCTCTCACTTGATTCAGGTCTCTGTACATTGTCACCGCCACAGTGCCCTTCCTTGGCCTCCCTCTCTGGCAGGTGCCATCACAGTCACCCTTCATCTTGCTTTGTTTTTCTTCATAGCACCTGATATCATTGGTTAATCTGTTTATTGTCCTTCTGCCTCACTGGAGTGTCACTTCAGTGAGGACAGGAACCTGTCTTTTAATGGTAGTGTCTCCAGTGCATAGAACAGAGCCAGTCTCTGAGCCTATTCTGTTTTGTGTAGTTTGTGGTATGTGTGAGTGAATATGTGTATGTGAGTGTACAGGACTTTGCCTGTGTGCCTGAGCCCTGGGGTCAGAGTGGGCCCAGGGTCATCTAGGAAGGAGTCTCTAGGGCTATGGCCCTACATGTAGGGAGAAGTGGAGGAGGAGGATGAAGATTAGGATTTCCCCAGGCCCCTCTTCAGGTGCAGCATGCCACCCCATGGCCCTGCTAACTGATGAGCTCTGCTGCCCTTAGGAGCCCGCTGTGAGGCCAACACCTTCCACGGTGAACGCTGCTTCTATGGGGCTGCAAGTGATACCATCCGCCGGGCCCTGCTTGATTATAAGCAAGTGACACCCTCCTCCAGGAGGCGGGACTACTATGATGAATTCCTGCAGCGGTGAGATGGAGCGTGGGGCATCTGATGGCCTTTGCCCAGTGGGTCTGTGATGGGTGTGGCCTGCAGGGGGCTGAGAGCCTTCCTACAGGATGATATGAGGGACTGGAATGGTGAGATGGAGGAGAGGCACTCTCCTGAGCCTTCTTCCACCTGTTCTCTACCCCCCCTCTTGCCCCCCCAGGCTTCTGGATCAAGGCATCCACAGTGATGTGCTCTTTGTGGTGCACGGGAAGCCCTTCCGGGCCCATCGCTGCATTCTGGGTGCACGTAGCAGCTACTTTGCCAACATGCTGGATACCAAGTGGAAGGGCAAGAGCATCGTGGTCCTCAGACATCCGCTGGTGCATCCCTCTCTGGGGCGGGAGAGCAGAGGGACAGCGGGGGGCTGGTGCTGGACCGAGCTTCTGACCTTCCTTCCCGGCTCTCTGCCTGCAGATCAACGCTGTGGCCTTTGGGGCCCTGTTGCAGTACCTGTACACAGGTGACACCCCAGGCCTGGGTTGGGCGGGCAGGGAGAGGGCTGCGTTTCTGTCCAGCAGCAGGTCCAGCTGTAGCCTTGGGCTGACCTTCTACCACCTGGTGCTTTGTCCCCTGCATTGCAAGGCAGTTCCAGTTGCCTCCTGGGTTGGGTTGGGAGACAGTGAGCTGGGCTCTGCTAGGGAAGAGCTTATTTTACCCAAAAACTGAGCCCCCTTTTATCTGTTCTGGGGTCTGTAGAACTCAGACAATGGCTCTTGTGGGGAAATTAAGGCAGCATGTAGGCCCAGACGTCTCAGCAGAGGGACCCCCTATGAAACGCTGTGTGCCTGGGCACTGCTAACGGCTGCTCTCAGGCTCTGAGCCTCCCACGCTGCACCCAGGCGGCCTGGATGTCGGTGTGGAACACATCAGTGACTGTGAGCGCCTGGCCAAGCAGTGCCAGCTATTGGATCTGCTCAACGACCTGGAGGCCAAGTGCAAGGAAGTGTCTGAGTTTGGTACGTCCAGACTTGGGGGTCCAGGGCTTTGGGCAGGAACTGGCAGGGCCAACCTGGCTTCCTGAAGCTGCACTATCTCTGCAGTGGCGTCCAAGCCAGGCACTCACGTGAAGGTGCTGAGCATGAGGCCCCCCGCAGAGGACCCCCGGCTCCGGGAGGACCTGGCCTTACTGGCTGACTGTGCCCTGCCCCCTGAGCTCCGAGTAAGCACACAGCAGCCTGGGACTGGGCCTGGTGGGCCGCTGACTTACCTGGGGACAGCTGTGGTAGGCAAGCCCCGCATTGGGGTTCAGTTCCTTATGTGGCCTTGAGCCATTCACTTCCCTTTTCTGAGCCTAGTTGTTTACTTCTCTGTTTGTCTTGTATTTAAATCTGCAAATGAGGTTGCAGTTCACCCCCCTCCACCCCTCCAGGGTCAAGCTAGAGTGGGCTCTTGGCGAGGCCAGCCACTCTGCCTTCTCTCACCTACATTATCTAATGGTGTCTCCTCTCCCATCCCCCAGGGTGATCTTGGGGAGTTGCCTTTCCCTTTCCCTGATGGCTTCAACAGCTGTCCTGATGTTTGCTTCCAAGTGGAGGGTTGCAGCTTCCTCTGCCACAAGGTGCTGTCCACCCCACAGCTCCCTAAACCCCTGTCTTAAGCCCTTAGGCCAGCTTCTGTGGGCACAGCCCAGGCCCTGGCCTTTCCTAAGCCCACCCTCCCCCAGGCCTTCTTCTGTGGCCGCAGCGACTACTTCCGGGCCCTGCTGGATGACCACTTCCAAGAGAATGAAGGGCTAGAGGCCTCTGGTGGCCTCCCAGCCATCACCCTGCATGGCCTCACGCCCCACGTCTTCACCCATGTGCTCTACTACATATACACCAACCACACCGAGGTGCGGACTGGGGTGGGCTGTGTGCACTGTGCCAGGGGCAAGGGGTCGGGGGCACAATGGTCAGGACAGGTACACAGCCCATGTCACTGTGGGGCTTCAAGGGTCTGCCCAGGTCCTCACTGGCTCTGAGGGACAGGTTTCCCATGAGGCTGGAGAGCAAGTGTCGGGCCACTTAGATTTTTCTTTCAGGCAGAGGGGTCCTCATTAGATCCACAACAGGAATGAGTGACAAGACCTATGTCATGAGCACTTGACACTTGGGGACATAGTGTCAGCCATGTAGGGCCCCCAGCTTCTTCAGCCAGAGGACAGTGACGCTGGGTTCCCACAACAGTGGGAAGCCCTGAGCCCCTGCCTTTAGTTTGCTGCAGACCCCTAGGGTTCTCTGCCTCCCTGTGTCTTCACCTGCCCCAAGGCCCCCCCTAACATAGGGTGACATGGGCAGCAACAGATAGTGCCAGAGTACCCTCTGGCAGGGTGTGTGCGCGCACACGCGAAGGTTTCTCTAATAAAGAGGCCCCCAAATATGGTAGCTTACAGAAGAGAAGTTTCTTCCTCCTTCAGGTGGAGGTGAGTTCCCTCTGGCAGGCCAGTCCATCTTGGGCTGCAGGCCACATACAGCCCATTTCATTAATACATTTTTACTGGGACACAGCCATACCCATTCATTTCTCTACTGTCTCTGGTTGTTTTGCACAATGGCAAAGCCAAGTGGTTGTGACAGAGACCCTGTGGCACAGTATTTACCACCTAGCCCTTCATTTCTCCTCGGTATAGTTCAGCTCTCTGGCCCCTGCCACCTAGCATCCACCTTGGCCCATCCTGACCCTAGAAAGAGCTTTGCCACCCAGAGGGCAACTTCTTAATGACTCAGAGCAAGGACTTGGGCTCCAAACCTGGTTTTACTCTGAGTTAGCCTCACCCCTACCCCAGAGCTGGGTGATCTTGGGCTAGTTACTCAACTGTTTTGTGCCTCAGTTTCCCCCTCTAGAAAAGGGTGATACTGATAGTAGCTCCTAAGGTCTTGTGCAAATGAACGTGTATGTTGCAAGTACAGTGCCTGGCACAAGTAAGCACCATGCATATGGCCTGTGAGGGGCTTAGCAGAGGTCCTGTTGGTTCCATTTCCAGCCTGCTCCCTGTGGCCATCCACAGTCTGGGTGGAGCACATGGTCTCTCCCAGCACAGGGTATAGCTATGGCTGTGCCCTACATCCCACAGCCTCTATGGGTGGGAAGGAGCTGGTAAATAGTTACTCCCCCACCTTTTTAGTAGGGTCCTTGCCTCAGTTTTTACAGAAGCAACTTCTGTCGCTTTTCTGGCAGCCTTTTAAGGCAGACATGATTGTGTCTGCATCTCGCAGAGGATCTGAGGCACAGCGGTGAAGTGATTTGCCCAAGGTCCCACAGCTAGAATTTCCAAGCTCAGGTCTGTGTGATTCAGAGCCCAGGCTCTGCCCTGCCTGAGCCATGGGAACCCCAGACTCTGTGTCCCTTCTGGTCCCATGGATGCCTGCAGGGGTCTGGGTCAGGTACCTGGCAAGGGGAGGAAGCTCCTGCTCTGCCTGAAGCCTCTACCTTCTGGCCAGCAGGTCCCAGCCCTGCTGCCAGCCCCTGAGAGGCCTTGCTGACCTTAGAGTGCACCCTCCCTCATCCCTTTTTTCACTGCAGGTGCCCCCGGAGGTGGCCTATGATGTGCTGAGCATGGCCGACATGTACCTGTTGCCGGGCCTGAAACGACTGTGTGGCCGCAGTCTGGCCCAGCTGCTGGATGAGGACAGTGTGGTGGGCCTGTGGCGTGTGGCCAAGCTGTTCCGCCTGGCACGCCTCGAGGACCAGTGCACTGAGTACATGGCCAAGGTTATCGAGAAGGTGGGCCGGTGGGAGCTTCAGTGGGTGGGGGCAGGCTGTGGTGGGTGGCAAGCAGCGGTGTGCCCTGAGTGTGCCTGTTCACAGCTGGTGGAGCAGGAGGACTTCTCGGAGGCCGTGAGGGAGGAGGCGGCAGCTGTGAGAGGCCGGCAGGAGCAGGACTCCATCCCTCTGGTAGATGACATCCGCTTCCACATCACCAGCGTGGTGCAGACCTACAGCAACATTAAGGAGATGGAGCGGCGGCTACATGCACTTGAGGACCTGCTGGTGTCCATTGGCCTGGACTGCTGACTGACACTGGGCCACGGGCTTCCTGTGGACTACGCATGTGGTTTGGTCGACCATGTGCTCCATTGTGTGCTCCTTGCACCCTCCAGGGCATCGTGGTGTGTGGAAGAGACTCATTGAGGCTCCCTACCCTGGTGTGCTTGGAGGCCCCAAGGAGGGTTACGTAGGATGAGCCTCCTCCCCTCGTGCACAAACCAGCCCCCTCAGCCCTGGGCTGGGTACCACTCAGGGAAACCTGGGGTGGGATCTCTTAGCCTCATTCCCCAGGTCCCCCTCCCCTCCACTCTGGCTCTCCCTGGCTGCTTGCTTCCTAAAACCAAGCCACCTTCTCACAGGCACAGAGATGGCCAGGAGGGAGCAGCAGAGTCTGTGTGGCAATAAAGCTTGAATTCACTGGGAACTTGAGCCCCGGAAAGATGGTGAGATGGGGTGTAGGGACAGTTTCTGGAGTTGGGGACCCTCATGGAGAGGTTTAGGTGCCCAGCAAGGGCTACTCAGGGATTAGGGGTTGCCCTGGGTCTATGGGTCTTGAGTAGGCAACCCCTGTTTGTGGGGGCCCTGAAATCTCCCAGCTGAGCTCCTCATCACACCCCTGCCCCGGAGGAGGACCCCCCTCAGGGCACAGCTTTCCCCTGGGCTCCTCTTGGTGAAGTCACACTGACCAACTGCCTGGCCTGGGGGCCCTGGAGGGTGTTGAGTGGGATAGGGCTGACTGAGGACACAGGCTGCTTCCCCCTCAGGCCAAGTAAGGATTGGCTTCTGAGCCATAGCATTTCTAGCTCTCATTCACTGAGCACTTACTCTCTAAGGAAGGCTGTTCATATGGCTCACGTGTCTGATCATCCCTGCCCATGATCCCAGGCACCGGGACCGGCTGGGCCACAGGCAGGACCAAGGGGAGGCCTGGCAGCAGCTGGCTCTGCAATCCCAGGATGCAGGGCTGGGAGAAGTGGGTGCAGAGAAGTGAAAGGGGGAGGAAGCCCTCTGACTCTCCCACTTCCCACTCCCCTGGCCACTGGCTGTGTTGGGCTTCGTTCCAAGAGGGGGACTGTACCTCCACTTCCCCTCAGCCCCAGGCCAGCCTCCTCCTGGACGTTATTAGGGAAGTCAGAGGTGGCTTTCTCAGGATGTCCTTCAGGCTTTCAGACCCCTACAAGCTCCTCTCTGGTCCCTGAGGCCCAGGTGTTGTGTAGGTAGCTAGATATTAAAGGAAGAAAGCAAAGGGAATCGGACATTATAGTTTCACCAGGAAGTTACAGCTTCACACACCCCCAGGAACCACTGGTCCTTTCCTGCCAATCACTGGGGCAAGGGACAGAACAGTGAAGGGGGAGGTACACAGTGCGGAGTAGGAGTAAATTGGCTCAGGGAGGTGCTTCTATGAGGCATGCGCATAGAAGCCAAATGACCACAGAGGGCTGTCAGTCAAGCCTGGGGGGAGAATGGATTGGTTGGGGCGGTCCCATCAGAAGCTCCGGAAGCTTGGAAGTTGATTGGTTACTTTGAATACACGGGTCCTTCCCAAACCCAGGTAATCTAATCCCAGGAAACAAAGCCAGTCCCTCCCTCCCTTGCAATAGCACACGCTCACCCTTTCCTTCACTTGTTCTCACTCCATAGCCATGTGGCCTTTGCAGTCCCCATGGCCATTCTCTAAACACAGGCTCCAGGCAGAACCTGGATACAGCAGCACAGCTAGGATTGCAGCCAGGAACCCGAACCAACTAGCCGGGTGGTGAGAAACTGTGGACTGGACTCAGCTTTAATGTGGCCCAGGGTCTCTGGACGCTGGGTCTGTTTCTGGCCCTGATGTCCCATGGCAGGAGGGACAGCGATGGGACATGGGGAATTGCCTTCTACTTCCACCCAAATGAATCTTACCACCAGACCTCATCCTCCCTTGTGGGTCTCCCAAAATGATTTTTTTCTCAACACCGCAAGGACCCACGTCCATCATCCATCGGCAGCAGAGCTGCACCCCAAGGCTGAAATCCGAGTGGTGCCAGGAGCTCACTGTTCTTCCCCCGGCTGGATGCTGGGCATGGTGGCCCTCCCTGCAGTTGTTTCATGTCACTTCACACCTTGTTACTCTTGTTGTTTTCCAGAACTTGGGGGAATCTTTTCCCTTCCCCCTCCAGTGCATTTCATCTGTGTTGGTCCAGTGGGGGAAGCTGTGAGGGCTGAATGACAGGATGAGCGATCAGTTGAACAAGTTAGCAGGTAGGCTGAGAGGAGTAGTGAGGAGGGGGAGCTCACCAAGCTGATAGGGGTGGTCCTGCTGGTGGAGGGCAGGGTTTATGCAAGGTCCTGGGAGCCTGAAGGAGCCTGACATGAGACGAGGGGTCAGCGTGGCCAGAGGCCGGGAGTTCCCACCCTGGCTCTCTCACTGCCTGGTCGCTGTGCTGTGCCTGTTTGCTTCTCTATGAATGGGAAGTCATTTTTATAGTAATTCCTCGCTTGGGGTGTTGAGTTACTACTTGGGAAGGGCTCAGTGCAGCACTGGTTGTAAGTG